GGAGCCGCCCTGAGCTACCCCCGCCCCCAGCCCCACCCCCTGCAGGTCCATCCAGCCTGCAGCTGCTCCGGCGTGCATGTCCCACCAGCCAGACACGCTCACCTCCTCCTGCGGCGGCCCCGCACGCAACCAGGGGTCATACGGGTGGGCCATGATGAGTGTGTGTGTGTGTGTGTGTGTGTGTGTGTGTCTGTGAGAGAGAGACTGTATCACCACATGACTGTGAATGGGAATCTGAAATCACTTTCTGAACCTGTGGAAACAAAAAACACACACAAACAGATCAGTTTGAAGGATTCCTGCTTTCTTTGCTATTTTTCATGCGAATCTTTAGTTATTAGTTTCAGGTATAAGCTGTGCATGGCATAATAATTGCATGAGGTCACCAAAAAACTGAACTGAATTCAGCTGAATTGACCTTATTTTGGAGATAAGAGCAGGTGCAGCAGTTTTTAACTTCAATGTTTTAAAGCTTCTGGTGTCATTCGCTTCCAGTAGCCAAACAAAAACAGTCAGTCATGCTGCTTGATACTGCAAACTGTGTTGTTATCATATTATTTTAGTTTATTATCATAATCATAAACACAAAACTATTTGAAAACTTTAATTTTTTTATACAATCACCTAATTGTCAAGTCATGTATTGACAAAAGTAAACAAACAAAAAAACTTTTAAAACTATAAACAATTTTTTATTAATACTACTTAGCATTAAATAAAATACATTTATTTATAATCAACATTTTGTCTCACCTTATCTTGAACTAAAGGTTTCACTGAGCTTGTTGTAGTGCATTATAGGATTGTCTTCTTTGCAAAGGAGATGTGCGACACTGCCTTAGAAAAAAAACGTGCTATCTAAAAAAAAAAGGCATAGTTTTTCTTCTGTCTGTTATACAGATCTTGTTAACTAATTTTACTGCAGGCAACTTTTACTGTCTTAAGGTTGCATTTTCTCATATTTGTGTATTTATATTTTATATATTATTCCTTTTTAGATTCTTAAATACGTGCAGATTTCAGGCTTTTGTGTCTATAGTTTGGGACCTGCTGTTCCCACTTCATTTTTGCAACTGAAGTTTTGATCACCGAAAGAAGAGCGCAGCGTCATTGTCTAGCTTTTGGAGCACTCTTCAGGACGGACTAGAAAAGCAGCATCAGTGGTGCTGATGAACTGAGCTGCGGTTTGACTGTCAGCGTCTCTAAAGCCGCATCAACGCACAAACCTTAATACACATTTGACGTCACTGGAGGGATTTGGTGTGGCCATTAGTTAATGACCCTACAACAAAATCTAGCGTTGAAATTAACGATCACCGCCAGTCTCTGCAGTGACCTCTGTCCTGCTCGGATCCGAAGCATTCTGCTCCAGTCACAAACACAAACTGTCATCCATGAGTTGTTGAATGTAATGTCTGCAGCAAACACACATTCGCAGTGTACAGTTACTCTGAGAATCTCATCCTGATTGAGTCTGGTATGCCAGCTAATGTTCACATGAGCTACATTTCCATCCACCCAAATAATGCTCGTAATCAAACGCCTTCATGCAAACGCCTCCATCGATCTGAATGAAATCTCCATTGGGTAGTCTGTAAATGACCTGAAGGTGGAAGTAGACCTGAAATAATCCAATCAAAACTTAAAAACTAAACATGTGAACAAAAATATCTAATCAGCTGGATTCAAAAATACTTTGTGCACCCAGAACTGTTTCGAATAAGATCTGTGTACATACACACATTTGTAAGATATAAAGCCTATCTTTATTTACATCTTATGAACTGGTCAGTGGAGGTGACTGAATATTCACTAAATATCCACAAAAAAAAAGCTCTGTTGACGTCAGTTCTACGTTTAGAGATGTCATCAAGGTAAAACGATAAATACACTCAAAATCAAATTGAATCAGAAACTGAATTTATTAGAAAATTAGTGCATGTAAACATACCTATTCTGAATGGAGTGGAGAGGACGAGATTTCAGAGGAAAGTGTCGGCGGGTGAGACTCGCCGACCTCAATTAAGTTGTTTTGAGTCGACTAGTTAGACGCCACCTTAATGCATCCGTGATCTCAAAAAACACACACCTCAGCACTAACCACACACACACACACACACACACACACACACACGGTTTCAATCTATTAGTGAGCACGTCTCACAGATGCAGTGATATCAATCCCAGTCTGTTCCACAATAAACCTGCTGGAGTCAGACAGAAACGCTCTTCAGATGCCCTCGCGAATCACTTCTGCTTTACCACATTTGTGAGGACATTTGAAAACATTTGGACCTAGCAAAGATCTCTGTCTCTCACACACACACACACACACACTCTTGCTGATAACAGCTTCTCGCTCCCTCACACGTGGATGCACTAGCCCTGACACACACACACACACACACACACACACACACTCATAAACACACAGGAAACTTGTCCAAACTTGACAGACACATCCGAATTTCAGAAATGCTTCCAAAGAGATGTGTCAGACAATATATGCAGTACAGTATGTGTATATAGTGTGTGTGTGTGTGTGTGTGTGTGTGTGTGTGTGTGTTTGTTTAGATATA